TGCAGTGCACATTGGGTTAGTGAAACAAAGCATGGAAATAATATGATTAATTTCTTTACAACTTCTGCAAGTCTCCCTCCTCCTGTTACCCAACAGTCCCACTCCTCAAGGGATAAGAATCCTCATCCATAGACTTATAACCTTTGGCAATTGAAGTTCCTTCTGGTTTTAGCTGATTTTTTTCTCCCCTGACCTCACTCTCATCTCTGAGAATTGTTGCCTATGTTTAACAACACAGGTTAACCAGGTTAATGAACTGTTTAAAGTAATTCCCCATGAAAACAGGGCACAGCATGTTGCTTCAAGAATTCCCACCACTGACAATCAAACTAACATTGTAAGAAGTTGGTGAATGTTGAAAATTACCAGAGAGCATTAGATAAATTTTCTGGCCACTCCACTCATAACATCTGGTAAATTCATCTGCTAATTTGCAAATGAAAAGCATATACCCAGCAAGTATTAAACTGATTCCCCTGGTTGGGCTGCAGAGCTGGTTCTGCATGAGTGAACAAAAACAAATTTCATCCTCATATGTGACACCAGCTGCTGTCCTAATGCATGTAGTTCTCTTGATAATGAGAGTTCTGACATTACACTCTAGTTCAGGGGATTTCTTTATTTGCCCTCTTTTATTTAAATAATATTTTTAATACACTTGGTTCTCCTTTACTCACAGAGGTGGAAAAATCTGGAGAACAGACTGGTAAGCTTTGTGGCCTCTGTGCTCAGTCTCAGAGAACACCTCCCATCACCCTGAGTAGTTGCCTTCACCTATTTCATTTCACTCATCACTGACAATTCTTCAAGATACATTTTTAGTATTTAGTCTTGCTTATGTGCTGCTGTTATGTCTGCTCTATTTTTGTCGTCATTCTATTTTCTGTAATGATTTATTCAAATTAATTGTTACCTGTAGCTTGGCCCCACTGCTGTTGTGGAGTCTTCGCCTGCAATCTTGTCTCCTTAAAGGATCAAAGTTTTATTTGATTCGTTCCTAAAAGCATCTTAGCACAAAGCCACCAAATCTGATTTCTCTGTTACACAAGATGCAGGCTGCTTTGCTGGACCACGAGAGCAGCTGTGAGCTCTGCCAGTGACAGAGTGTAAGTTCCCAGTGGCACTGAGCGTGTGCCACCTGCCTGCTGCCTGTAAGGGAGCTCTGATCCAGCCCTGGCTTTTGGATATCTCCTCTCAGCTTTGAACATCCCAACTTCCCTCTTTACATCTGCCCTAGAACGTTCATCAAATCCAAACAACGCTTGGTTTCCAGCAGGATCCTGTAAAACCAGTAAGGCTTTTCTTAGCCATTCTCTGTGCAGTACGTGCCACACACTGGGTATAACTGAGGTGTAGCACAGATCATTTCGGGGTGCTGGCACAACACCTCTTGCAGAGCAAGTTTCTCAGAAATAGCCAGACTTTCTTTGGAGGTGACTTTTTCACTTTTTAGAATAGAAAAAATTGCTGCTTCTCATCTCTGAGTGAATATGCATTTTAATTCTTCCGAATTATCATTCAGTCTAATGTTGCTTCTAAGCCCTTCTAGTGCTGCTTCCAGTTCTGAATTGAAGAACTCTTTTAATTCCTCTGTTTCTTTCTAGTATTCACACAAAAGGTGTCTTGAAAGTAGAAGCCACTACAAAAGAGATGTCTGAAGACTTTTATTTTTCAGGTAAGGTTGCTGTCAGATGTACAGGGTTGGTCAAAAATTGCATATGTGTAAAGGTTTAGTTTCGTTAGCTTGAGCAGAGAAACTGCAGTTTTACCTAAAGGGGTGGTTGTATGTCCTTAGGCATCTGTGCAACAGCATCCCAGATAGTCACTGAGTAACAAAGGGGACAGAAACACAAGTTCCTGCCTCATATGTAAAAAGTTCTAGCATTTTTATTCCTGTCTCTTGCCTGAAGAGGCAAAGTTCAAGCTGGTATGCTTAAGATATTAATGTGGGGGTTTTTTCCCCCTCCACCATAAAAACAATGAACCAAACCCAAAACACCCACCACAAACAAACAAACAAACAAAAACCCCCAAACAGTAAGTCATTATAGACCACACTTGCAGCTTCCCAATTGCAACCTGCACCAAAAATGCCTTTTAGCTGCCTGAAGAAAAAGTGGCAGCTGCCAGTTCTGTGCAGTTCTCTGCAGTTGCTCATCTGGACCCCCAGGCTGAGTGTTCGCTGCAAGCTACTGCTAGAAATGCTAATTATCAGTGGATGCCCAAAGGCCACCGTCCTGCCCTGCTGTGCTCCACAGCAACATCCTCACCTGGGGCTTACATTTTTTTGCCTTCAGATATGGAGGCCAAAGGAAGGGAAGGCCCTGAGCAGGAATTAACCTGCACCCTGAGTTTCTGCTGAACTCAGGGACTGGTCGTAATGTGGGATAGGCAAGTCAGCAGGTGGGCAGAGCTGTGGCCTTGGTTTAGGAGGATGTGTGTAGGTGGGTAAGATCAGGCATGAACAGCCACAGAAACATGTCAGAGACCGAAATGATTCCGAAGGGAAGATGCAAAATGCACTTGATTTATAAGAGTTTGACAGTGAAAACTTTCTGTGGTGAGGTTTGTAAAGCTAACTCCTCAACAGCTGCTGTAGCTTGATGTCAATTAAAAGTTGCCTAAATATTTTATGGTGGGAATAATGAGCTGAAGCTGTATGATGACAAGTTATCTGCCCCCTGGCTTCCCAGGTATGCTTTTTTCAGATCAGAGTCCTCTGATCCTTATTCACAGACACAAAGTATGAAGCTTACCACTGTTCAGCAAAGAAAGGGTTACCTTGATTAACAAATAATAAGCAGCTGTCCACATACCAGCCTCAGGAGTTAAAAGGGATGAAAGGCAGAACTGTGCTTCTGGGTATAGGGAAGTCTGACTTGCTTGAGCTGTGGGAAGAGAATTACTCTTCAGGAAGAAGGAAGAGGTATGTAGCTCACATGAGCAAGATTAGCCTTGGCCTTTCTACAGAAATAGGCAATATTATCTGGGTAATAGGCCTATAGCTGGGGTGAAGAGATGAACAGATGGCAGAGCTCTGGTATAGAGTAGGATTGGTTTCCTCAGTTCCTTCGTGCAGTGATGAAAAAACCTAGCAACAATAGTGTGGAGTTGGAAGATGGCTGTATGACTATAAGGAAGTAAATTTGTAACAATGAGAACAAGACCACAAGCGAGGAAAGCAGAAGCTTGTCTAACTCTTAATATCTTTAAGGCTGTCTCTTTGGAATATCTGTTTATCCTGGGGTCAAGACTGCATTCTAGCAAATTTTCCTTATGGAGTGTGAAATATGGGATGTCATATCAGATAACCTAAAAGTCTCTTTGGCCTTGAACTCTGTGTCCCTCTCTCTTTCAGATTGTTGCTTCCCATAAAATACTGAAGTTTGTACAATCTCTTTGTTATTCAGTGGGCAAAAAATTGCATGTAAAATAACTAGCCATGATCAACAACAATAAGAGCTAAATCCTTCTCATTTCTCCCTGAAATGCCAGGAGAGAAATCGTAAAGGACTATTTCTAGATTAGGCAGTTCAGATCAAAGTAGAAAACATTATTAAGCCTCAGTCAGTAAATGTTTATTGATACGAAGCACTACTTAATCCACTTTCTCTCTGAAGGGTTGCTTTAAAGCTTTTTGTCTTCTTCAAGCAAATAAAAGCAATTTCTACTGCAAGTAATTATTGCCCACTTAGGTGTCCTCGTGCGTCCCTTTCCTCCCCAACCCCCCAACTAGTTCCTCCTGCGCGTTCAGGTAGCTCTATATTGTTTCTTCCTTTCAAGGCTGTGCTTTCTCCAAACTTTGTTTCTATCGGGTTATTACCACTCATTAAGACACTGCACTGACCACTCATTAAGACACCGCACTGGAAGCAACTAAACCAAACCGAACTGTCATGATTTGCAATATATGCTTTTTATCTCTGATAGTCTGTATCATACTTAAACGGCACAATTTCTGTACCACTTGTCTGCCTGCCACCGTCAAGATGCAATTTGCTTGTGATTGTTAAAAATTATGCCTAAACCACATCTCGCATCTCCGGTAGGCTACTGCTGTCTGTGCATCCATTTCCGTCTCGAAGGAAGTTTTGCTCTAATCTGTTGTTCATAACCACTATAAATACACGCACGTTCGGTGGAGCCAGAACAGCAGAAGTACAGTGATTTTTTTTTTTTTTTTCCTTTTTTTGGAGATTTTTTCTTTCAGATAAGAATACGACTTAATAGGTTGCGGACACGCGCCGCTGTGATTTGAGCACAATATCCTAAAGGTATTATCAAGCACTAATTAACTTACCGACTCCCTTTAGGCGCTACGGTGCGAAAAACCAGCCGTGTTAGAGACAAATTCAGATGGCAACGTTCTATTTTTCCTTGTCTCCTGTAAGGAAAAGCCCTCTAACCCCCGCTCTCCCCGGCGGGGCGCTCACCTCCCCTGCCGGCGGGATGCTCAGCTCACCTCACCTCCCGGCAGGTGCGGCGCGTCCCCCGCCCCTCCGCAGCCCAACGCGGATTCCCGGCTCGGCTCCGCTCCCTGCGGGCACGGCGGGAGCGCGGCTCGGGGGGCACCTCAGCCCGGGGTGTGGGGGGATCCTCGGGGCCGGCGCTCCGCGGGAGCAGCAGGACCCGTGGGCTGGCTCGGCGGTCGCTGCCGTGGCCCGGGCGGGCGCGGCGGCCCCGATCGCGCAGGCGGCGGAGAGCGGGGAGGGGCGCGGGCCCTACCTGGGGGCGGCGGGCGGGGGCTGCCCGGCCATGGCTGGACCCTCCGCTCCGCTCCGGCGGGCTCCGGGCAGGCGACAGCGCGGCCCCGGCGCGATGCGGCGGCGGCACCGGCACCTCCCGGCCCTGCCCTCTGCTCACTCCTCCCTCCCACGCCCGCCCCGCCGCCTCTCCCGTTCTTCCCTCCCTCGCCCGCTGCGCTCTCCTCCCGGACACCGCATCCTGGGGGGAACCCCGTCCCCTGCTCTCTCCGCACCTGGGAGTCGCCGCCTGGCCGCGGGTGACCGGCCGGGACATGCGGGAGGGATGCAGCGGCCGGGGTCTGTGCCGCCGGAGCGATGTAGCGCCCGCACCGGGATCGGGGCGGCCGCACAAGTTGCTGGCGTGTTGAGCTCCGTCTGCGGTGTGGGAACGAGGACGTGACAGCGAGGTGCCGGGTGACTCCAGCGAGGAACTGGCGATGGTTGCCGAGTCCTCCTTACGAATGTCATGATGTTCTTTCGAGCCCCAGCCCCGTAAACCATGTGATTTAAATGACAGGGGTTTCTTTCTGTTTAGGTGTGAGACTCAAGCGTTTAGAAAAGGACCCTACTGAGTTAACTATAACTTACGTCTTGCTTTAAGCACCTTTAGGTTGTTTTATTTGGTTACTTTCAGCAAAGTTCCCTCTCCCCTCCTCCCCTTGTTTGTTTGTTTATTGGTTGGTTGGTTTTTCAAAAAAATACTGAGTGTCCTGTGGCTTGGCTCTATTGTGTTTGCATAACCATGTCGGAGAATCTGTGCAGTACAAATGATTAGAACTGGTCTGTAGTCATGGAGAGGTGAGATGAAAAGCACCTGAATCACAGGTGATGCATGATTTGAGTTTTGAACCCAGAGCTAGAGAGGACATGGAGCCTCCTGGGTTCAGCAGGACTCCTTTGGCTCAGGTGTGAAATTTGCAGGGCTTGAGACAACTGTCGCGACCTTGATGCTGCACGATTCTCCTTTTGCTGAGACTTGTTTTCAGTAAGTTTAGGATCTAGGCCAAAGCCCAAGATCTGCTCTGTCCAGTGAGGTGATGAGTATTATCCTTTTGTTAGTTACGTAGCAAACACTGCACTCAACAGAGAAATTCAATAGTAAAACCATGGCAAGAACTTACACATACCCACAAATACTGCTGAAAGCTCGACTCCTGTATGGTGAGCCCTTTTCTTTAGTCGTTGCTCTGTTCAGAGATTTGATGAGTGAATTCAAAGGCAAAGAGAAAGGGCAGGTTACAAGGGCAATAAATCCATGCCTGGACAACCATCTTTTTCTTTTTTCCCCCTGCAACAAAGACTCAGCGTTTCTCTTCTTTAAATACATCATTCCTGTGACTTTTCTATACTTTGCTATTCCCTTTAGTTGGCACGTTATGAAATCGTGAAGTTTAGTGAGTTTTGGAAGGGCCTGGGGCATGCAGAGAGAATTATTTTATGCATTGAATCAGGTTTTGTTCTCTGTTCCAATTTAAAAAGCAGAAATTTCTTAAACCAACTTTACAACCAGAGGCATGGTAGCATTTAACTACTGAACCAACATTTTTCATTGTTAAGAAGGGCTACCTGAAGCGTTTGTTCTTGGTGACTTTGGCATAACCAAGAGGAGGAAGTTTCATCTTAATTTTTAAATACCTCTTTAGACTTTGTTGTAAGGATATGGATGACCCCTTCTGTCAGCTTGTGAAGTGACAGCTGGGAGATGGCAAGTTTAATATCTGCATTGTGGTGGTGAAGGGTAAATGGGAATCAAAGCCAAGGGAAATCTTGGGTTTTAAATGTAAACCGGAGAAGCTGAGGAAACTAAGAGACATAACAGCCTCTGAGGGGAGTGTTTGAGACATTCTGACCTTTTCTGCCAGCCCATCTAACAGCATAGAGACCTGAGATATCTTTCTGAGTGACTGAAAAGTCCTGAAGTCCAGATCCACACATACCTGCAGCTTTACCTGCTTAAATGCAAGCCCAGATTAGCACTGGAATCGGCTGTCTGCATGAAACATCTACTTAATACTTAAATGTCATCCCCCTTGACATGGCTTCCTTGTCACCGTGTTGTACTTTTCTCATGCCCTTCAAATGCTTTTACATCCTTTCATTCCTGGAAACTGGTCCTTTCCTCTTCCTTAGTTCTGCCTTTGCACGTTCCGTGTTTTGGGGTCACTCAGACTCCCAGGTCTATTGTGCCTCTTATCCCTGTAGACTGTTTCTCATCAGCCCTTCTCTAATAGACACCACTGCTCGACACAAACAGTGCTTAATATTTCCTATCACCTTCCACTTGATCAGTTACTTTAATTTCATTTATCTTTAACGTGCATCAGATCTCCAGTTTTGTATTTGAAATGTTCTTTTTTTCTCTTCCTCGTGATAGTATTTTCTTTCAGATAAATTCAATCTTGTTGCCACTGAGTATCTAATATCTCCCATGTTCTTCCTTGTTCAGTAGCGTGTCTGCTCCTCCTTTGCTGTCATTATCTGATCCATTTTCCATCACTGTCAGTGTTCTTTTGCCCCAGAGATTTCCTCTTACCTCAGACCGAGTCCATGTGTGACACTGCTGGACAGGGTCCAGTGGAGGGCTATGAAGGTGTTTAGGGAACTGGAGTGTCTCTCATGAGGAAAGGCTGAGAGAGCTGCACCTGTTTAGGATGGAGAAGAGATGACTGAGAGGGAATCTTATCAATGCATACCAATATCTTCAGAGCTGGTGTTGTCAAGATAATGGGGCCAGACTCTTTCAGTGATGCCCAGGGCAGCAGACAAAAACTGAACACAGGAAGTTCCATCTGAATATGAGGAAAAACTTTCTTACTTTGAGAGTGACAGAGCACTAGAATTCTCTCCCTTTTCCTTTTCTTTTCTTTTCTTTTCTTTTCTTTTCTTTTCTTTTCTTTTCTTTTCTTTTCTTTTCTTTTCTTTTCTTTTCTTTTCTTTTCTTTTCTTTTCTTTTCTTTTCTTTTCTTTTCTTTTCTTTTCTTTTCTTTTCTTTTCTTTCTTTCCTTCTGGGTTTCAGAACAGCTTCTTCAGAATTATTGAGATATTTTTCTTCTGTTGTGAAGGAAAAGGACAGAGAGACCTTTGGTTAGGGACTCAGGAAGGAAATGACCGTTTTCTCTCAGTAAGTTTGGCACTTCAGAAGTTCATGACAGGTTTTCTACTCTCTAATTTCAGATTGTCTGCTCTTGTGAGTTGTCAAGGGTAAGAGCTCTGTGACAGAAAAAGAGAGGAGAGGTTTTTCCCTCATTAGAGGTGGGGATATTTGTAGCTCAGTCTCACCTTTAGGTTTGGTTTTTGTTCCCTGATGTGATATGACTCTGCACCATCATTTTTCCATCATAGACACTGCCACTCATCTGTCCCTCACTCCAGCAGATAGAACTGAGGTTGCACACATGCTGGTTCTTTGGTTTTTATCACATCCTTGTTGTTGATATGAAGTTTTCTGATTCTCACCACATAATTTGATTTCCTCTTCTATTTTTTTTGCATTATTAACTATTGTCTGTTTCCATCGTCCTGCAAAAACTCCTCAACCATGTCTTGGACAGACATGTCCTCTTCTGTTGCTTCTTCTCACTGTTTCAGAGCCCTTCTTTGAGACAGCCATTATGACTTGACTTCTTCACAATCTACCAGAAGTGTGCTTTTCTCAGGTACACAGCTCTCCTCTTCCCTAAAAGCCCATAATCTTTATTTCTGAGGGATGCAGCCAAGTAATACTTCGTGCTTTTGTTCTTATTCCTTGACAATGTTGGCACGTAGCCTAAAATAACTATTCTTTTTCCTGGAATCTGACTTGACAGAAGAGAACTGATTACTGTCACACACTGGCTTATTTCAAAGCTGTCACCAGGAGTGTATTTTTCCCTCAGCTTTTAGATATGAGTTGGCAACAGGAAGAGAGAATACTGTGGCATTTTATTTAGCTGTCTGTCTTTTATGTGTCAGCCCAGGACAGTGTTCTCCTACTGGATAAAAGAAAGTTATGGTCAGAGAATACAATATCCTTATATTTTAAGGGTAGAGATTATTCCAGTTGTCAACACTGTGCTTAAGATTTTGCTGGTTTTGACTTTTATAAAAACCCAAAGGGGTGCTTAAAAACAATTAGTCAGCCCTTCTGTTGGGAAGGTAAGCAGAACAAACTGCTGCAGAGTTGTTAGTTTGAACTGAGAGAAAGTGAAGCAATAGCACCAAATAGAGATGACTGTCTCCTAATATGTCAGTCATCCCTGAAAATCAGATGGAGCCAAACTTACACTAAGATTTTGATTTGGCTCCAGCCATTCTTGGAGGTATTCATAACTCCATCTGGATATGGTCCTGTACAACCTGCTCTAGCTGATACTGCTGAGCAGTGAGGTTGCACGAAGTGCTCTCAAGAGATGCCTTTCAACCCAAGAGATTCTGTGTTTTGTGTGATTCTGTGCTTATGTGGCTTTGGCTTCTGTTCATTTGCAGTAAAAAACTATCCTCAAAAACTTACACATGACTTGATTATTCTTGGAAAATCTACAACTCTCTGCTGACTCTGTCACTGGATGGTGTTTTCAGGAGTAGATCACTGTGGTAGGGGACAGAGCTTTTCACCTTTGCTTTTCACAAAACCCTCCTAATCAGAAATACAGGGGTGGAAAGGTGGAAAGCTTATCATGTAGTGCACATTTGCAAATGCTGGATGGAAAACTTCTCAACGTTTTGGTATTTTCTGGACACAGGCACAATATTTCCAGAACAAATGTGATATTGTCAGATGCCCAATACAGGAACCATCTCTCTTACATAATAAAAAAGAGTTAGGATATCCTCTATTTACCCTCCTTGTCCCTGCTTGCTGTGCAGTTGGTATGTGCACACAGACTACTTTTATGAGGGATATGTAGTTAATCCCTTACAACTAAACTATATCCCTACTCCAGTGAATGTAAAAGGGGTGATATGTGGTTCTTGTGCAGTCATTTTGAAAAGTTTTAAAAGGATATAAATCATCTAGCATGGTTTATGTTTATTTACTATATGTTTGTTTACTGAAATGAGTTACATTTGGCTGTCTTACCCTGTGGTTGATTATTGTACAGAATCAATGACCTCGTGTACTGTCAGGTTATTGATGAGGTTGCATAATTCTCTTTGTGTTGCTGTTCAATACATTGGCTGAGTTCTGACACTGTAGATGGACACATCTCTTTTACCCAAAATACCAGCTGTATTTTGCTTGTGGAGTTGCATTGGTTAAGCTGTAGCTGCTTGTACTGAAGATTAGGTTGTTAGCTTTAATATGTTAATATGTTTTAGACAGGAGATTTTTGTCCAATACCTTTTTTACCTGCGTTTTTGTTTGTTTGTTTGTTTAGGGTTGGGGGCAAGGGGTTGTTTTTGGGTTTTCTTGGTTTGGTTGG